CACCTATCTATTTCCATATAAAAATACCGGTATAATTTATATATATTGCGTAAATTGTCTGATGGAGTAATTGTTTATATGCATGTATTATGAAGAAAAATACTGATAAGTTGTAAAACTTGTGTCCAATTCTTTTGTAAATATTTACAATAGAATATGTTTAAATCAAGACAAATGTTTTAAAAACCTTACACAAACCAAAGTCTTAAGATCATGATATTTAGCCTTCAGTATGCTTGGATGGAGGATTATCAAGTTTGTTTCAAAGAATTACCTTGACCCACATTCAAGGTCACGGGAGTTGAATTTATAAATAACTTTTAAACTACTACTGAATGACTAAAACGAAGGTCATGGTTGATGCTATTTAGCAAGAAGTGAGCCTCGATAAAGTGTTATCAAGTTTGTTCAAATCAATGACCTAGACCAAATATAAAATATCAGGGGATTTATATTTTAATGATATTTTAAGTGTTTAGTGTTAAAGCTTGTTAGGGCCCCGTATCAGAGATACGGGTGCCCTATAGTAATCACTCTGTCTGTCTGTCTGTCTGTCTGTCTGTCTGTCTGTCTGTCTGTCCTACCAAATTTTGTTCCTGGCTGATAACTTTGGTATTTATCGACCAATGTACATGAAACTTGGTCAAGATGTTCAGTTCACAAAAATACACATTGAGGTAAAAAGTCAAGGTCAAAGGTCAAGGTCATTAGGTTCAAAGGTCAAGGTCAAATTTTACATCTTTTCACTGATGAACATTTTGTGATGACATTATGAAGCAAAGCTGATCAGAATTAAACAAGGAGTCCACTGACCAAAGGTCAAGGTCATCGCGTCAGGGGTCAAGGTCAAATTTTGTAGCTTTTCACTGGTGAACAATTCACTACGACATTATGGAGCAAAGTTGTTTGGAATTAAACAAGGAGTCAATTGACCAAAGGTCAAGGTCACAGGGTCAAAGGTGAAGGTTAAATTTTGTACCTTTTCCCTGATGAACATTTTGTTATGACATTATGAAGCAATGTTGTTCAGAACTTAACAACAGAGTCAAGTGATCTTAGGTCCAGGTTACAGGGTCCAAAGGGTCAAGGTCAAGTTTTGTATTTTTCACTGATGAACATTTTGTTATGATATTAAGAAGCAAAGTTGGTGGGAATTAAAGAATAAGTCAACTGACCAAAGATCAGGGTCACTGGGATAATGGTCAAGGTCATTTGGATCCAAAGGTCAAAGACAAAGTGGATCTCTGACTTTGACCCTGGCTCTTGATGGAGGAGGTATATAAGGTGGAATAAAACGAATCAAAGCTAACAAATGAGTATTGCACCAGTATTTACATTTCTGTTAGCCCAGCAAATATGGAGGTGGAAGGAAACAAGACTCGCATCATAGTACATGTGAAATGTATATTTTGCTTCCTTGCGATTCTTTTTGAAGTCCAAATATCAAACGTTAAGCTCAGCTATATGGGCAGATTGCTTCTTGATGATTATGGGGGATATATTGCCACAAGACGGGGCCCTTACTGACCTGTCAGTGTTCTAGTTTATTCTCAATTTTACTAAATTGCAAGGTCACAGGAGATGTGTAAATCTAGTGACTTTGAATGACAGGTCGGAGATACATCCCATTAGGCCTCTTGTTTCTCTTGAAGGTTCAATTGTAATTATTGAGACATAAAATAGGTTTGACATCCTAATATATTTTTATTGCGAGGTTTGATAAGTTTGTTATCCCCCGCTTTTACCGAACGGAGGGATATTAATTTGGGTTTGTCCGTCTATCTGTCTGTCTCGCTTCGTTTCCGTGCAATTACTGCAACAAATGTGAACAGATTTTCCTCAAACTTGGGAACAGGGTTAAATGCCTTAAGGGCTCAGCCAAGTTCGACAACTACTTTAATCGAACTCAATTTGGCGGAGTTATGGCCCCTTGATTAACAAAAAATTCATTATCAGCAGTTTCCGCTTAATAACTCTAGCAAATATTAGCCAAATTCCTTCAAACTTGATAACAATGTTTGTTTTCCTCTGTCTTTCCACCCATCTTGGGCACACTTTGGTTTTCGTGTGATAATTGCTGTAAATAATGTGCAGATATTTCAACCAAATACTGTTTGCACATCCAACTCATGCTAAGGTTGCCAACAATGTGATTTGTACATATTTACAGATAATTAATGAGGTATAAGGCTTTTTTTTTCTTCAAGTTTCAAGCTATACATTATGTCTCAACAGCACGATACTCACATGTTTAAACCTAACCTCAATAATGTTTAACCACAATATGTCCTGCAAGCGGGGGATATAAATTCCATGAATTTGCTTGTTTCCCTAGATATTGTGATGTTAAAAACATTTGTTACCAGTATTCAAAACTATGGAAATTGGATACATTTCTGATGGTTTGTTAGCACACCTGCCCGAAGGGCTAGTGAGCTTATGCCATGGCCCAGCGTCTTGTCATCCGTCCATCCTTCCATCGTCTGTTAACTTTCCCTTTGAACGACTTCTTCTGAAGAATGGCCAGGCCTAGAGTCATGATATTTGAGTGATAACTTTTTTGGTTAGAGCCTAACAATGACCTTAACCCCCTATATCAAGGTCACAGCGATCAAAAGTGTCAAATACTTAAAACGACTTCTGAAGAACTGTAAGGTATAGAATCCTAATATGCGGCTGGTAGCTTCGTTGGTAAAAGCCCAACAAAGTTTGAGAACAAAATGACCTAGACCCACTATCAAGGTCACAGGGGTCAAATATGTCAAACTTATCAAATGACATCTTCTGATATTCGAAATGCATAGAATTATAATATTTTGCTGGTTGCTTCTTGGGATTGAGCCCGACAATGTTTGCGAATGAAAACGACCTCAACCTACTTTCAAGGTCACAGGGGCCAAATATGTCATAATCTAAAGGCACAGAATTATAATATTTGGCTTGTAACTGTCACAGATTGAGCCTGACCAAGTTGGCTATTGAAAATTACCTCAACCTACTTTCAAGGTCACAGGGGTCAAATATAGCAAACACTGCAAACAGCTTCTTTTGAAGGAGTGAAAGGCATGGAGTCGTGATATCTAATAAGTAGCTTCCTTGGATGGAGCCCAACAAAGTTTTCGAATGGAAATGACCTTTACCTACTTTATCCTATTGCTTTATCCTAATCTAATTTGATATAGAGTATCCTTGGCCCAACATGATTCAATGTTGTAGAAATCATGCCTCCATCCCAATGGGGACAGGAGAATGGGACCCAATAAGGTAAGGGTATTACTGAGATACATACAGAGCCAATATTTGGAAATATTTGTAGTACAGTATTATATTAATTTAATATTTTGCTTTGACTGCTTAAATATCGAGGTGAGCAATACAGGCCTGGGCCTCTTGTTGGTTTGTCAAATCCTTTTGTGTTGAAATATGGGAAACATAAATGTTCCATGTTTAATGATGGTACAATTTTCAATTTAAGTAACTTTTTAATATTCTGGGACAACCAACATTTCTTAATTCAAATAGGTGAAATGAAGTTTGTACCCACTTACCCCTATATACCAATTTTCAACAAAATTTGAGAACATCTAAATTTCAACCAATCAAAAGCCTGCATTGTGGCCCCTTCTATGGCCCCAGGGACTTGATTTGAACAAACTAGAATCTTCATCCCTCAGGCATCATGCCTGCAAAACAAAAAACCTGTGGCACTTCTGGTTCTTGAGAAGAAGATTTTTTTTGAAAATTGACATTTTTGTTGTGTTTTTGGCCCTATTGGGACCTCTAAGACCATTAGCCCCTCCATTTGAACAAATCTTAATCCCCATGCCATGCTGATCACTTGTGCCAAGTTACATCAAATTTGGTCCAGCAGTTTTTGGGAAGAGGTCGAAAATGTAAAATGTGAACACACAACGACGGACGCAGATGGATTGCAATAGGTCATCATGACCAATGGTTAGGTGACCTAATGAATGCTTGACTCCAAGGCGGATAAAATTAAAGCACAGTGCAGAATACAATATGTGTGTCCTACTAAACTTGTCTAATTGTGTATATCTGTACAGGGCAGTAGAGAGTCAGTGATGTGGCTAGCTGTTCACCACCAACAGACAATAAGTGTGTCCTACTAAACTTGTCTAATTGTGTATATCTGTACAGGGCAGTAGAAAGTCGGTGATGTGGCTAGCTATTCACCACCAACAGACAATAAGTGTGTCCTACTAAACCTGTCTAATTGTCTATATCTATACAGGGTAGTAGAGAGTCGGTGATGTGGCTAGCTGTTCACCACCAACAGACAATAAGTGTCCTACTAAACTTGTCTAATTGTGTATATCTGTACAGGGCAGTAGAAAGTCGGTGATGTGGCTAGCTGTTTACCACCAACAGACAATAAGTGTCCTTATAAACTTGTCTAATTGTGTATATCTGTAAAGGGTAGTAGAGAGTCGGTAATGTGGCTAGCTGTTCACCACCAAAAAACAATAAGTGTGTCCTACTAAACTTGTCTAATTGTGTATATCTGTACAGGGTAGTAGAGAGTCAGTGATGTGGCTAGCTGTTCACCACCAAAAGACAATAAGTGTGTCCTACTGAACTTGTCTAATTGTGTATATCTGTAAAGGGTAGTAGAGAGTCGGTGATGTGGCTAGCTGTTCACCACCAACAGATAATAAATGTGTCCTACTAAACTTGTCTAATTGTGTATATCTGTACAGGGCAGTAGAGAGTCGGTGATGTGGCTAGCTGTTCACCACCAACAGACAATACGTGTGTACTACTAAACTTGTCTAATTGTGTATATCTGGACAGGGCAGTAGAGAGTCAGTGATGTGGCTAGCTGGTCACCACCAACAGACAATAAGTGTGTCCTACTAAACTTGTCTAATTGTGTTTATCTGTACAGGGCAGTAGAGAGTTAGTGATGTGGCTAGCTGTTCACCACCAACAGACAATACGTGTGTCCTACTAAACTTGTCTAATTGTGTATATCTGTACAGGGCAGTAGAGAGTCAGTGATGTGGCTAGCTGTTCACCACCAACAGAAGAGAGCTCTACAGATGTTTGCTAGAGAAATAGCTCCTGCCGGCACTGGCATGGGTAAGGCAACACAATTTGTCGACATTTTCTCAAAGATCAATATTATTGTACTATATATATGTGTTGGACCTGGGCTGCTTTCATTTTCACTCTAGAAATGGTTTGACAAGTTATTCAAGATTGTTCATCACCTTTTAGCTCACCTGGCCCGAAGGGCTAAGTGAGCTTATGGCATGGTGCAGCGTCCGTCCGTCCGGCAGTCCGGCGTCAATATTTTACTTTTAACAACTTCTTCTTAATAACCAAAAGGCTAGGGGTGATGATATATGGCCAGAAGCAAACTGGGATGAAGGGCTACAAAGTTTGTTCAAATAAATGACCTTCACCTATTTTCAAGGTCATAGGGATCAAATATGTTAAAAACTTTAAACAACTTCTTCTGAATAACCAAAATGCCCAGGGTTATGATATTTGGCCAGTAGCATGCTGGGATGAAGGGCTACCAAGTTTGTTCAAATGAATGGCCTTCATCCATTTTCAAGGTCACAGGGGTCAATTGTCTTAAAAAATCTTTAAACAACTTCTTCTGAATAACCAAGAGGCCTAGGATAATGATATTGGCTAGTAGCATGCTGGGTTTAAGGTCTACCAAGTTTGTTCAAATGAATGACCTTGACAAATATTCAAGGTCACAATGGTGAAATATGTTTAAAACATTTAAACAACTTCTCCTAAATAACCGCAAGTCCTAGGATGATGAAATTTGGCCAGGAGCAGGCTGGGTTGAAGGGCTACAAAGTTTGTTCAAATGAATGACCTTGACTAATATTCAAGGTCACAGGGGTCAAATATGTTAAAAACCTTTAAACAACTTCTTCTGAATGACTAAGAGGCCTAGGGTTAAGATATTTGGCCAGTAGCATGCTGGGATAAAGTGCAACCAGGTTTATTCAAATGAATGATCTTTACTTATATTCAAGGTCACTTGGGTCAAATATGCTTAAAACTTTTATACAACTTCTTCTGAATAACCAAGAGGCCTAGGATAAAGATATTTGGCCAGAAGTATGCTGGGATAACGGGCCATCAAGTTTGTTCAAATTAATGACCTTTACATATATTCAAGGTCACAAGGGTCAAATATGTTTAAAACCTTTAAACGACTTCTTCTTACTAAGCAAAAGGCCAAGGGTGATGATATTTGGTCATTAACAGGCTGGGATGAAGGGCTACCAATTTTGTCAAAATGAATGACCTTTGCCCATATTCAAGGTCACAGTGGTCAATATATGTTTAAATCTTTAAATGACTTGTTCTGTATAACCAAAAGTTCCTGGGTAATGATATTTTGCCAAAAGCATGCCGGGATGGAAGACTTTAAACTCAGTTCAACCTAATGTCCTTGCTCGACATTCAAGGTCACAGGCGTCATATGTTTAAATCTTTTAATAGGTTCTTATGAATCAAACACTGATATTCTGCCTGTAGCTGTATTTTAGTCCACTTTTAAGATTACAAGTGTGGGATTAATACCAGGTGAGTGATTCAAGCCCATTGGGCCTCTTGTTTACTTAAAATATTCACTGTATGACTAACAGAACAGATGTCCATTTCCTTCAACTTATTTATTTACCGCATTTGTCTTCTACCATCACAGCACCAGGCTTGACAGGGATTGTTGGAGGGAGACCAAGTGTGTAAGTCTTTAATGTAATGTAATTTGTACAGGTAAAATGTAAGGGCTGTTCCTTAGCTTATCATATAGGGGAGGTGGGAGGCACAGGTGTTACCGATACCGGGAAATTTTGCCCTTCAACATTTTATGGGTGTTGGGGTCTTTGAAAAAACCCTGCCCATATGGTTGATTCTGGAAATGAAGGAAATCTTGCCACTGCAGTCTGCCTGTGATTTTCCTCTCCTTTTTCGATGAGATTTAGACATTTTTCTTCCTATTTGGATAAAGAAAAATCCCCAAATCTATGTCTTCTGTTGAAAATGTGTGTATTCTTCTAGTAAAACTTTGTCTCAGTCATAACGGTTAATCAGTGAATAACATCTTGATGAATAAAACGTGAAGCATAAGTATCACTCTCTGAAGGAGTACAATGCGCTATAAATAGGTCACTGTGACCTCCAGTACACGGTCAAATAAGTACGAAGTTCCTGCAAAATCTCATCCAGGCAATAGCTTGGAATGTTACAGATGCTTTGATGATACCCGAAGTATACCTGTATCAACCAAAGAACATGTGCAGGATATTTTGATTAGGTCACGATAACCTCTAAGTCAAAGGTCAAATAATTTTTGAGTTTCGTAAATTTTTACATCAGATTTTGAAGGAATCTGAAAGATAAGGTAGTATATACCCTTAATGATACAAAGCCCATTTCCACTGTTCATAAGTAAACTTTTCTCCTTTAAAATTTTCAGGTCGCCTGTTTTGAAGCTGTTTTCATATTTATACCCAAAAGGACAAATGAAGGTAATGTTTTTCTAGTTCAGAATTGAATTCTTTGTTTCAATGTTTACATCCAGACTATATGTATCTCAGCCTAGGCTGGTTATTACTGCTTAAAGTACTGCTTGGTGGTGGGATTAATTTTACTGTACAACAGTTTCATTTACAGTACAGAAGTTGGTTTCTATAAATCAGTTATATTTACTGTATAGCAAACTATAGCAAACCAAACTAATCCATGCCCTGTCAGAGAACGTTAGTTGAAACTATTGACAATAATAATGTTTTACACAACAAAAATTCTGGCATTTATGAAAAAAGTCTTAAAACATGGTACCTCCCTTGATTCTTTTATGAAATTTGCAGCCTTAACTCGGTTGAATTAAATGCGACATTAATATCACATGCTGATTTTGATTGCATGGTAAAATTTGTCTGTATGTGAAAAAAGGTAAAAAAAAAAGTCATGGTTTGATTGGTCATAAAAATTTCTGTATGATTTATTTTTTCAACTTGTTACAATTGATGTGCGTGTATCAAACTAATTCTTCACAAACACTTTACAACAGATTGACATTCAAATGAATGGAGATCATGCAGAGACATTCCAGCCCCAGTCTGTCACCACGGCGACCTACAACACGGGTGACACGGGGACAGAAACTGGAGATTCCAGTCCCCTCCCTTCAGGCACCCGTACCTACCGACTGGGCGACCTCGCCTACACAAGGAGTGGTGACAAAGGCAACTCGGCCAATGTCGGTGAGACTCGTAGTATGTGTATTGTTGTATAATTTGTTGGGAGGATTGGTCGAGTGGTTAACACTCCAGCCTTCCACTCCGGAGGCCAGGGTTCCATCCCGAAGTGGTCATACGCATGGAATATTCAGAGAAAGTGTTTTTCTCTTACCCACACAACTCCAACAACCCAGGTGGAGTTTAAAATGGTCTGGGGCGGATGTTGCTGTATCTGTGCTGTAGCATTCAAGTGAGATTGCACTATAAATGATGCCGTTGGAAGCACGGTCCCACTACAAACAGAACACAACAACAATAATAATAATAAATTCTTTTGTTTAGACAGGGTACCATATTTAGACTTTCATCTAGTTTACAATATGGCCCTGTAAAAGACACATATGTACAATGTACAACAACATATTCTATAATTTTACACAACATCACTTACATGGAAACAAATAAATAAACAAAGCATATATAATATTACCGTATAAAATAATAGTTCAGTGAGGCACAATGGAGCTTTCCAAGAGTTGGGGAGGTCCACTCCTGCGAGGTCTGCCCACTGAACACATCTTAACTATAACATACGAATGGAAATTTAATAATACATTCACTGTAGGGATAAATCGAAGGATAAAGTTGAAATAAAAATGTGGCTTTAGGACAGACCAATATCACAGGTAAGCTTTTGCGAATTCATATTGCACTATGTTGTTGATTTAAAATAGTTGCTAAGATATAACTTTATAAAAGACAGAAGGCTTGTAGCGTTTCGTGTCTCTTCAGTAAGATCATTCCACAGAGCAGTACAGGTATATCTAAAAGAACGCTTATACAATGTTGTTCTGCATTTGGGTACATGTCTCTAAAACTTTACTAGCACAATACATTTCCAACACACATGCAGGCATACACACATAGGGAGATATTAGCCAGGTGGCATAGGACTAGTAGTTAGCGCCTGATAATGCAGCTGCTACGAATTCCTCAAAATTGTTTTGTTAGGTCACCTGAGCTTTGCTCAAGTGACCTATTCCAATCGCTTTTCGTCCGTCGTCGTCCGTCGTCCGTCATCCGTCGTGTGTCGTGCGTAAACTTTTACATTTTCAACTTCTTCTCAAGAACCAGTGGATGGATTTTTTTCAAACTTGGTCAGAATCATCCTTGGAAGATGAGGCTTCAAAATTGTAAAATTGGGATTCCTACCCCCACCCCTGGGGCCAGGGCGGGGCCCCAAAGGGAAAATTATCCAATATTTCAAAAATCTTCTTCTCCAGACTCACAGGTACTACAGTGATTTTCTCTACGTGGAAAGAAAGATCATCAGGCGCTTTACTTAAATTGTAAATTTCAGGACCCCCGAGCTATCCGTTCTCCCTTGGGGAGGGGGTAAAGTTTACTATAGTTTATATAGGGAAATAACACTTTTGGGTATATTTTGACAACTTTCTGTAGGAAATTATTTTTACTTGGTGAGAATTATCCTTGGAGGTAGATGGTTTCAAATTGTAAAATTGAGATTCCTACCCCGACCCCTGGGGCCAGGGCGGGGCCCCAAAGGGAAAATTAATCAATATTTCAAAAATCTTCTTCTCCAGACTCAGAGGTACTACAGTGATTTTCTCTACGTGGAAAGAAAGATCATCAGGGGCTTTACTTAAATTGTAAATTTCAGGACCCCCGAGCTATCCGTTCTCCCTTGGGGAGGGGGTAAAGTTTACTATAGTTTATATAGGGAAATAACACTTTTGGGTATATTTTGACAACTTTCTGTAGGAAATTATTTTTACTTGGTGAGAATTATCCTTGGAGGTAGATGGTTTCAAATTGTAAAATTGAGATTCCTACCCCGACCCCTGGGGCCAGGGCGGGGCCCCAAAGGGAAAATTAATCAATATTTCAAAAATCTTCTTCTCCAGACTCAGAGGTACTACAGTGATTTTCTCTACGTGGAAAGAAAGATCATCAGGGGCTTTACTTAAATTGTAAATTTCAGGACCCCCGAGCTATCCGTTCTCCCTTGGGGAGGGGGTAAAGTTTACTATAGTTTATATAGGGAAATAACACTTTTGGGTATATTTTGACAACTTTCTGTAGGAAATTATTTTTACTTGGTGAGAATTATCCTTGGAGGTAGATGGTTTCAAATTGTAAAATTGAGATTCCTACCCCGACCCCTGGGGCCAGGGCGGGGCCCCAAAGGGAAAATTAATCAATATTTCAAAAATCTTCTTCTCCAGACTCAGAGGTACTACAGTGATTTTCTTTACGTGGAAAGAAAGATCATCAGGGGCTTTATTTAAATTGAAAATATCAGGACCCCGAGCTATCCGTTCTCCCTTGGGGAGGGGTTAACGTTTAATATAGTTTATATAGGGAAATAACACTTTTCGGTATATATTTTATATATTTTCAGCAGAAAATTGCTCAAACTTAGTCAGAATCATCTTGGGTAAATGAGAGTTTTACTTTGTAAAATTAGGATTCCTGCCCCATCCCCAGGGGCTAGGGCGGGGCCCCAAAGGGAACATTTACCAATATTTTCAAATTCTTATCCATTGATGACATGACAAGTATTGTATTTCACTTAGTTTACATGCTGATTTCCACATCACATCTAAACAATAAAATAAAGCTACCAGTATCTATGATATAACTCAGGTGACCGCTAAGGCCCTTGGGCCTCTTGTTTGATGTATATGCTAATTGTATTAATCGTATAAATTGTATAGCGCTTTAGAGTGGCTTAGGTTAACTAGATAGGGCGCTATATCAAATGTTGTATTTCATTATAGTGATGTTGTGTAGGAGAGAGAATGAAGCTGAGCATGTCATGTAGGTTTTACAGAGTATAAAAATAACTTACTAATGTTGATGAGACACATAATCCGACCTTGATATGATGTTGTGTTTATACTTTTGACCAGGTGTGATTGCCAGGCACCCGAGTGTGTTACCATATCTACGACAGGCTATCACTGCCGAGGTTGTAGATAACTATTTTGGTCACCTCTTCACCGACAGGGAAGGCCCTCTTAACACTAGGGTTCAAAGGTCAGTGAACTCAGTGTTATTTTGATACATATTTTCAAGAAAGAATATTTTGCTGTCCAATATGTAGTGTTGCTTTAACTCTTTAGCCTACTCCTATATTTTGGTGTCGTCTCCTGAGGCACCATTGATTGTTAGCCTACTGCAGGATCATGTGACAAGTAGAGTATCATGTTACCATGCCGAGGGAATGACATTTTATATATAACTCTCGAATCTAGCAGTAAAACCTACACCACCAGCACACTTTGGTTCATGCTGTCAAAAAGTAAGCCTCGTGGTCGTCCAGGACTAGTGTTTATAACAGTTTTTGTCTCGCCGACACGAAGTGGAAGCGAGATTAAGGTGTTGCTTTTCCGGCGACAGCGGCGTCAACATTAATTTTTGTGTTTAAGTTAGTTTCTCTGAAAGTATGAGTGCTAGACAAACCAAACTAAAGATGCATCTTGGGTAGTACATCTCAACCCATGCATCAAATGCGGGATGCGGCCTACCTTTCATGGTCCATTGACTTTGTCAGCATCTCCATCAACATTAAGTTTTTGCGTTTAACTTAGTTTCTCTGATATGTGCATTGATGGACATATCAATCTGAATGGCTTGTTTCTGTTTCATGGTCACCAAGAGCTAGTATTTATAATGTTTTTTTTCTGTGACAGGTTTGACGTACCAGGGATTCATGGAATGAACTTTATGTTACATAATGTACTCGGTGGTGGGGGAATAGCATCGCTACGCTGTGATCCACAGGTAAAGTTTTAGGACTGCTAGACTGAGTCAGCTGATGTTGCTCTGTTCTGATCTGAAAGTCAAGTCTCAGCTGCCATTATCAGGCAAGATGTCAGCAAGTCAACTCTCAGGCCTTCCATTGTTTGGCAAGATTAAAAGGTCCATATATATTAAACCTGAGAATTTCATTATCCTCTGGTCACCTATTCCCCCTGTTGATATGGTAAAGTTTACTATAGTTTATAAAGAGAAATGACACTTTGTGTATGTCAGTGGGAAAAAAATCAAACATAGTTGGAATTAGTATCATGTGATTGCAGTTTGATGGTAGAAATAACAAAAACCTGTCTAAAGGGTTTAGGCCCAAAGGGGTAACATTTCAACAGTCTTCTTCTTAGACCTAAATGTGCTAGAATCAATCATTCTTTATGGATGGAAAGGTCCTAGGGTGCTCTATCAAAATTGTAAATTTCATTACCTCAGGGTCATCTATTTACCCTGAGGGGAGTGATGAATTTTGATATACCATTAATTCATAATATGAAGAAATAACATTTTGGTTATAATTTGCTACGTATTTGAACCAAACCCAATACATTTGTATGAAGCAGAAAGGTTGAAATCATGTAATTCAACTGAATAATGTCTCCTGAATTCAACATTGTTACAAGGACATAAAGTGTGTATAGATAATGATATATGAAATAAATGTGACAATTTGTCTGTAGTAGCTTTTTCAGTGCAGTTATCTCCCTTGCATTGTACATGACCGGGCAGGTGATACATATAGGCATCAAGGTTAGAAATCTAAGGACAAAAACATATTCTGAAGCCACGCTGATAAATTATTTTTTTCCTGCTTTAGGGCAGTATTCTGTTTCAGAATTATAATAATATTTTGTGTGTTTAGGGAAAAGCGATGGGTCAGATGTTACTTGACCTGGAGTTAAGACAGATGCCAGACTTTGGTGACGTGTGTAATACAGACTGATGTCATGGTAACCGGGAAAAGGAGGTCATGATGTTACACCAGCCTCTGGAGGTCAAGGACATGTCAGACTCCGGGACAAACTGATATTGTGAAGTGTTGGGAGACATCCTGATACTTCTTAGCTTCTCTCAATACCAATATGGTATTCAATATGATTATAAACCAATCTTTTATTCTATATTACCTCAGGGATAAGCTGTGGAAGGTTAATTATTGCAAGTATTTTGAAAATTAATTGGTGCAAGCGTTTTAAAATGACTTCATCAGAAATCATCGCCACGTATGTCAAATCCAAATATTGGCACATTTGTTCTTAGCTGCACTTTTATCCATTTTGATGAATTGTATCTGCACAAACTGCTGAGGATATTCTAACCATGAGAGATTGCTGGTGATTTTAATTTAATACAAGATTAATTACACTGATGTCACATGGCTTGGTATCAACATTTTCCAAAAAGATATTTTTTTCTCTCTCTTTCTAATGTCTATATTGTTTAATATCATGTGATTAGAAATGAACTCCTCTTAATATCATGTTCTATGTTTTCCCTGACATCATGTGTGGAATTCACCTGTTTACTGCTTGTCGATATATTCTCGCTAAATACCAATTCTTGTCACAACACATGTACATGAAAACCATAATTTTGCCAGTCATCACTCCTGTTTGATAGTGATATATGTGTGTGTGCTGTGGTTGGAATAGCATGGCGTGAATAGGGTGCCAACCAATAGGCTCAAACCTATGAAATCAATTAAGACTTTTCTTGTTATTGCTAAGAGAATCATTGATACTTCAGCTTTGTGTAAAAAAGTACACCAAACAAATGTTGAAATGTTTAATTATTGATGATCAGTAGATAAGGTTTTTTGAGAGGCACATTTCACTATACATGTAATGAATTTATTGGTATGTTTCTGTTATATAGCGGGTGACATAACCCTGTGTGTACTTCAGAAAGATGTGACACAAGATAGTGGGCCTCACAGTGTAATACTCTATATATGATGTGATGTCCACTTATATACATTTCTGTTATATAGCGGGTGACATAACCCTGTGTGTACTTCAGAAAGATGTGACACAAGATAGTGGGCCTCACAGTGTATTACTCTATATATGATGTGATGTCCACTTATATACATTTCTGTTATATAGCGGGTGACATAACCCTGTGTGTACTTCAGAAAGATGTGACACAAGATAGTGGGCCTCACAGTGTATTACTCTATATATGATGTGATGTCCACTTATATACATTTCTGTTATATAGCGGGTGACATAACCCTGTGTGTACTTCAGAAAGATGTGACACAAGATAGTGGGCCTCACAGTGTATTACTCTATATATGATGTGATGTCCACTTATATACATTTCTGTTATATAGCGGGTGACATAACCCTGTGTGTACTTCAGAAAGATGTGACACAAGATAGTGGGCCTCACAGTGTATTACTCTATATATGATGTGATGTCCACTTATATACATTTCTGTTATATAGCGGGTGACATAACCCTGTGTGTACTTCAGAAAGATGTGACACAAGATAGTGGGCCTCACAGTGTATTACTCTATATATGATGTGATGTCCACTTATATACATTTCTGTTATATAGCGGGTGACATAACCCTGTGTGTACTTCAGAAAGATGTGACACAAGATAGTGGGCCTCACAGTGTATTACTCTATATATGATGTGATGTCCACTTATATACATTTCTGTTATATAGCGGGTGACATAACCCTGTGTGTACTTCAGAAAGATGTGACACAAGATAGTGGGCCTCACAGTGTATTACTCTATATATGATGTGATGTCCACTTATATACATTTCTGTTATATAGCGGGTGACATAACCCTGTGTGTACTTCAGAAAGATGTGACACAAGATAGTGGGCCTCACAGTGTATTACTCTATATATGATGTGATGTCCACTTATATACATTTCTGTTATATAGCGGGTGACATAACCCTGTGTGTACTTCAGAAAGATGTGACACAAGATAGTGGGCCTCACAGTGTATTACTCTATATATGATGTGATGTCCACTTATATACATTTCTGTTATATAGCGGGTGACATAACCCTGTGTGTACTTCAGAAAGATGTGACACAAGATAGTGGGCCTCACAGTGTATTACTCTATATATGATGTGATGTCCACTTATATACATTTCTGTTATATAGCGGGTGACATAACCCTGTGTGTACTTCAGAAAGATGTGACACAAGATAGTGGGCCTCACAGTGTATTACTCTATATATGATGTGATGTCCACTTATATACATTTCTGTTATATAGCGGGTGACATAACCCTGTGTGTACTTCAGAAAGATGTGACACAAGATAGTGGGCCTCACAGTGTATTACTCTATATATGATGTGATGTCCACTTATATACATTTCTGTTATATAGCGGGTGACATAACCCTGTGTGTACTTCAGAAAGATGTGACACAAGATAGTGGGCCTCACAGTGTATTACTCTATATATGATGTGATGTCCACTTATATACATTTCTGTTATATAGCGGGTGACATAACCCTGTGTGTACTTCAGAAAGATGTGACACAAGATAGTGGGCCTCACAGTGTATTACTCTATATATAATGTGATGTCCACTTATATACATTTCTGTTATATAGCGGGTGACATAACCCTGTGTGTACTTCAGAAAGATGTGACACAAGATAGTGGGCCTCACAGTGTAATACTCTATATATAATGTGATGTCCACTTATATACATTTCTGTTATATAACGGGTGACATAACCCTGTGTGTACTTCAGAAAGATGTGACACAAGATAGTGGGCCTCACAGTGTAATACTCTATATATGATGTGTGTGTACTTCAGAAAGAGGTGTGAAATCAAACCAATTTGACCTCTTTCATATAAATAAAGGACGTGTCGAAAAGCAATGTTATTTGAAGAAAAGAAGATGTGATACTTTTATTAGATGTATGATTCCCATTTCAAGGTTGAAATATCTGTGATTGTGTAACGGGGTGGAAACATTCAAACTACAATTTATACTAGATGCATAAATTTATGAAAGAATGAAAATCATGTGGAGAAAATGGTTCATTATTGAACATTACATACATTAATATGTATACGACAAATATCAATTTAAGTGTGATAGCCGCACAAGGTTCCCAACACTTTATTCTTATACACGGGCCAGACAATATAAGTTTTACTTATACACGGGCCAGACAATATAAGTTTTTCTTCTACACAGGCCAGACAATATAAGTTTTACTTCTACACGGGCCAGACAATACAAGTTTTACTTCTACGCGGGCCAGACAATATAAGTTTTACTTATACATGGGCCAGACAATACAAGTTTTTCTTCTACACGGGTCAGACAATATAAGTTTTACTTATACACGGGCCAGACAATATAAGTTTTACTTATACACGGGCCAGACAATATAAGTTATTCTTCTACACGGGCCAGACAATATAAGTTTTACTTATACACAAGCAATATCAGTTTTTCTTCTACACGGGCCAGACAATATAAGTTTTACTTATACACGGGCCAGACAATATAAGTTTTTCTTCTACACAGGCCAGACAATATAAGTTTTACTTCTACACGGGCCAGACATTACAAGTTTTACTTATACACAGGCCAGACAATATAGGTTTTAGAATGGATAATTTTGAAAACTACAAAGCATAATTGTAAATATTTTTACAAAATGAAAATAAATGGCTGTCATATTGGTTTAAGTGTTCAAACGATGACATCAGGATTATGTCTGTTTTGGAAATTGAACATATCATAACTCACCGAAATGCTGCTTTTGATTTACAAATTGCTTAATCTTTAACTGAGCCAACAGTCCATCTGAAGAGTTACCAGATGATGTCGGTGACTTTTCTTGAAATTATAAACATTTAGAGGACTTTTATTGAAAGTTTAGAAATGGTCCATTATCACAAGTCTAGCCCCTGAGTCAAATTTGTGCAGATGTTGAACATCCAGTGCTTTATATAAAATTCCGTGTGATTGTTGTGACAGTGCTGATAATCGGTCAGTTGTGATGACTGTGATGTATAATTTATTAGTGTGAACTAGCATGTGACTGTTTATATAGCAAATATACAAATAAAACATTCTATATTTCTAAAACAAGTTTGCGTTTTATATTTGCTAATGGCCATGACGATTTTCCTATATTGATCAAAATTTAAAAACATGAGTGGATCAATGAATTCAAGTGCTATTGCATGAAAGCATATTGCATTGAAGCCATGTCACTTTTTACAAAACTCATTGCCTCGTTGAATTTCAGATCTTGATTAAAATCAACCATGAGCAGGTATTTGATACTGCAAGTACTTGTAAAATGTTTCATGAACATGAAACCATTCTTTTAAGAGTTTTTGAGGGAAACCATCTCCAGGGTCGAGTAAAAGATGACCACATTTATATCAGATCCAGATCAAAAACAAAAAAGCAATTGATATTCGTATCTAAGGGAAGTTTCACGATCCAACAGATTATTTGCCAACATCACAATGTTATTTTATAAGAATTAACAAGAGTTCTGCAGGATGGTACATGATACGCCCGTCAGATGTAGAATGAGCAGTTTGCCACAAAGGGCCATAAGTGCATAAATGTTGGAGAGATAAGCGTCAAATCTTATCAAGCTTGTCTGAGCTTTCATGGCAATGAACCTTCCTACCAAGTTTGAAATAAATTTATTCAAAATTACTCAAGTTATTGAGCGGAAAGTGTTTTCGGCAATTCTACAAAAGGCCATAATTCCGTAAATAACCGGCAAATAGTATTGGTTATTGCAAGATTTCATAGAAATAAAGCTTAAGTTATTGATCAGAAACTGTTGCGTCAATTCTATAAAGGGCTCCTTAATAACAGGCGGATAATGGTTATCGAACATGTGCAAGCTTTCATAGAAATGAACCTTCCTATGAAGTTTGAAATTAATCTGTTCAAAATTACTGAAGTTATTGAACAGAAACTGTTTCGGCAATTCTAGAAAGGGCCATAACTCCGTAAATAACCAGTGAATAATTTTGGTAGCTATTATCGAACTTGTCCGAGCTTTCGTGGTAATGAACCTTCCTATTAAGTTTGAAATGAATCCTTCCATGAAAACATTTTACATACCGTCTATTGACGAGCGTATAAAAACTATGTAAAATGCTAAAAATTCATAATTCTTGGAGTATCAGAATGTCAATGGCAAATGAATTGTCATTAGGGCCAGGGGCAGGGGAAACATACATATAGTGCTTATAAAATTGACCTGACAAAATTAACAGGAGACCCAGAGGGCCTGTATTGCTCACCTGTTTCTTTTGTTACATGAAACTGACATAAAGGTAACTTCAGACCAAATTTGGTAACTAGAACACAAGACATCTTAACATCTCTTAAACGATTCTTAAGATGTTGTTTGAAATTAGAAATTTTAATTTTAAAGCTACATGCATTAACCCATGTTGACCTTGGACTCGGGCTAGCACTTAAAGTTGACCTTTGACCTTGTTACTGTAATAAAGAAAACAATTCACACAGCTGGTCTACATAGCATACCCAAGTATCATGACTGACTACACCAAAAGGTTCTTAAGATATTGTTGTTTGAGGTTTTAACATATTTGACCCAGAATTGACTCAGAATTCGATATGTGTAACTAGAGACGAAGGGGAACCTTCAAGTAAATTTGAGAAAGATCCCTCCAGCACTTTCTTAGAAATAGCACAAACAAGAATTGTTTAAGGACAGAAGAACATTCAACGGACAATAAACGAAGGGTGATTTGAAATGCCAACAATGACTGAAAACAACAAACATTTACATACTTAATTCATGAGCATGTTTTATTTTGAAAAACAACGCTGTGTTATTTATTTTGTGGTGTCTGTAAAATCTTCATAGAATATTAAAGTGGACTTTAAGTTCTACACAACACAGATTCTGTCCTTGCCATGGTCATCCCTTGATTTGCTGGTCAGTTTGGCCATTTCCTTGGCATCCGAGTCCACAAGCGCCGAAGTGGCTTGCTGTACCTCCGCCAATCCGATATCTGACACTGAAGTTACAATATTTGTCAGTCCTTAAAATTCACGGACGAGATCTATTTGTTTAAGTATCCAGGGCACTGAAAGGAAAACAAAATTAAATGAAAGACATTTGTCAGGACACCAGCAGACTCGTGGAGAAGTTAGACTTCAGCCCCTTGAACCAGCATGTGAACAATTGGATTGGATAAAGTAACAAAATCTGGTAAGTGACATCAACACAACAAATTTAATATTTTTTTAATTTTTGTATTTGTATAAGATTAGATAGCTGATATATGGTTGAAATCGGGACTTACAGTGTCTCAGAATTTCCTTTAAAAGTGAGAACTATTTTTGCTTTTATTCGCATGGATTCGAAATTTGCTGTGACCCATAGAGATCAGTGTAGCCGAACTGGACTGGGTCCGTCGGCGACTAGATAGCTCGATTTGTAGAGCGTCTGTCTAGAGTTCTGAAAGACCACGAAATCACGGGCTGGCAAGGTTGTGCACGCTTGGCCTATTCAAGCCCACACACAAGCCTAGGGGTTCCGAGAGCAAAGGGGGGCGTAACCTCTGGGGTATCGAGGATGAGGCAAATATAACCAACCCATGTGTACAAAATAATACCTACAATTGCATTCTCAGGAGGTGTAAACTAATGAACATTACATATTAAGTTATGATATAATGTGGCGAATTAAATTTCGTCATCCCTAACCCCCAAAATCCCGTGTAAGCTAAGGCCTATCTGCAAGGACTCTACTTACGTGCACGAATGACGCTGCACGCGATTACAAATGTTGCTACATTCCCAATGTTTGCTTGTCTGGCTTTCATTGCTTCTTCTTCGGGATCACGTTTTTCAATTGCCTGAAACATGTTGGTATATATATAACGTTAGTCCTTGAAGCATGCGTCTGTGATGGGTGATCACTGTCGATTGAAAGCTTGTTTTGAAGAGACCCCCCCCCCCCTTGACAGCTAAGCGCAATCACGATCCCGATCATAGACATGTACAAGCCAAGATAAGAGGCACAATAGGCATGTATCTTATTAGATGCTGTTTAATTGTTAACATACATATCCATGACCTTCAAAGCAGGCCAAGGGGCAAATTATCATATGTGCAAATTCATTGCAACACATTTGATAACAGTCCAGCTAACACTACATTCCCAGCATGCTACTCGTCATGTAAGAGAGGTCATTTTCTGATTTACCCCAGGTAGTCGTACTTGCCTCGTCTGTTTACATTATGGTTGTATAGACAGACGAGGCTAGTACCTGTGATTTACTAGTCCGCTAAAACTTACCATAATCGCAGACTCAAAAATTCTGATCGGCCGCCTGTTTATGGTCAGCTAACGACTGCTCTATAAAGCACGGGGATTGTCGTTGAAATCTGGCGACAGCGATTGTGAGAGTTAATTACATTTTTGTCAGGGAAAATAATCATACCTTTATTTCAGTTGATTCATTTTTCGCTCACTTGACTAGATGTCTTGTCCGTACTCGATACAATATGGACGCTACATAGTTTTAATCAATTGAGGTGCTTTTGATTGCTTACATCGACAGCCATTTTGCCCTCAACAGGCTTCCGATCAGAACTTTTGAGCCTGCGATTATGGTCAGTTTTAGCGAACTAGTGATTTACTCTCTACTGAATGAACTGAAGAGAAATTCTCCCCGATCAAGTCAGTATGAATCGGATAGCTTTGTTACCAGGGCGACAATCATTATGCATTATTCATCAGAAGTTGTTTAAGATAATGTTAAACATACATCCGACATGATCTTGAAAATGGGTCAAGGTAATTTATTTGAACAAGATTGACAGCCCTTCATTTCAGCATGCTATTGTGCGGGACTAGACTTGGTCGGTTGCTGGTGTCCGTCTAGAGCTCAGATCCCTGCATGCATGGTCTCACTCGGGTGGTGCTTTTTTCCTGTGACAGTGGTGCCTGGTGCCTGTGACAGTGGTGCCTGGTGCCGGTTACCGTGGTGCCTGGTGCCGGTGACAGTGGTGCTTGGTGCCGGTGACAGTGGTGCTTGGTGCCTGTGGCAGTGGTGCCTGTGACAGTGTTGCCCGGTGCCGGTTACAGTGGTGCCTGGTGGCTGTGACAGTGGTGCCTGGTGCCTGTTACAGTGGTGCTTGGTGCCTGTGACAGTGGTGCATGGTGCCGGTTACAGTGGTGCCCGGTGCCTGTGACAGTGGGGCCTGGTGCCGGTTACAGTGGTGCCTGGTGCCTGTGACAGTGGTGCCTGTGACAGTGGTGCCTGTTACATTGGTGCCTGTGACCAACGTCCCTCTGGTGGTGTTTTCCTGTGACAGTGGTGCCTGTTACAATGTTACAGTGGTGCCTGGTGCCTGTGACAGTGGTGCCTGTTTCAATGTTACAGTGGTGCCTGGTGCCTGTGACAGTGGTGCCTGTTACAGTGTTACAGTGGTGCCTGGTGCCTGTGACAGTGGTGCCTGGTGCCTATGACAGTGGTGCCTGTTACAGTGTTACAGTGGTGCCTGTGACCAACGTCCCTTGTGTTAAGTTCTTGGTGTATATGGTTTATACAAGGGGATACCTAAACCTGGGTTGAAAACCTTGTCTTCAAGGAATAAGGAGTGAGGAATAGAATGGTAATAGCAGAATTGGACGCGGCTGATTGCCAGCAACCAGGTAGCTCAATTGGTAAGGGCGTCCATTTAAAGTTGGAAGGTCCTTGATTAAATCACACTCAGGCCACCTGTTGGTCATTGTGTTGAACTATGTCCAACACTTAACTCAATAATTTATAACTTATGTGACAATCCAATGATGTTTGAAGCTTTCGACTTTGAGGAAATCAAGCTTGTTATGATCACTTCAACACTTTCAGAGAAATAGCAATACTATACAATATCAATCCCAAATCCAAAGAGGGCCCAGTAGCGATCTCGTCTATTTGAAACAGCCACAATTGAAGCTGGTACAACTACAGACTATGAAGGATCATGTGTACTATTTTTCAACATGGTCTCTTGGGTAGTTCCGGAGAAATGATGTGCAAAATCCAAGATGGTTGCTTGGAAGCCATTGTGCTTTTCCAAACTGACCAAAAGATGCCGTACTAGACAAGACTAGACAGCCATTTGAACAAGTATCAAATAAAATCCTCACTTTTCATACTTTTTAGCCCTCATCTGACCATTGCAATATTATCTTTCACTTCAGTAATTCCTAAATAACAAGATAACAAAAGTTTTGAAAAACATTTTTCTTTACTCTTTTTTTTTTCCAACAACAAAAACTGAAGAAACACCAAATATTTTAGTCATCAAATAAATGCAAATTAAGTGTTTTGTATTCTTAAAACATCAAAAATTATACAGAACTAAGGTTTCTACGGTAAAATGGACGGGAATGCTTCTTTTGGATAGTTCGAAATAAGGATGTCGAGGAGAAGAAAACAAAAGTCCAAAAGTTAGTTATACAGGTTTGAAAATAAAAAAGGGAAAAGAAATCCCTGACTTCAGTGAACCCTGACTACACCTACACCTGACTTTACACAGACATCCTCTCTTATCCGACCTAATCATTTTATCTCGATGTTTGTATACAGACATCCTCTCTTATCCGACCTAATCATTTTATCTTGATGTTTGCTTACACAGACACCCTCTATTTTCCGACTTAATTATTTTATCTCGATGTTTGTATAGACATCCTCTCTTGTACGACCAAATTATTGTATTGATGTTTGTATACACAGACACCCTCTCTAATCCAACCTAATCATTTTATCTCGATGTTTGTATACACAGACACCCTCTCTTATCCGACCTAATCATTTTTTCTCGATGTTTGTAAAGACAGGTTTAAGTGTACAGTACAAAATAATTTTGGAGTTAAATCGTTGTCAACATCGAAAAAATCACCACTAAAATGGTTTTGTATAACAGGTGTCTGTGTCTACTCCTCTACCTCTGAACAGTGACATAAATGACACATAGTTCGGTTCAAATACATACATCTTAATGTCACGTTACTGTACTGTTTTGTTAAAGATTATTTAACTTTGTAGCTTTAAGGAAAGCAATACTATTCATCTGTTCAGAGGTAGAAAGTCAAAGTGCCTATGTTTTGTGTCGGCCATACAAGAATGCAAAAGAATGGCATAAACTTTCATCACAAATAATAACAGCATGCAGAAAACAACGGATTATGTTTATGAACATCTAAACAAAAACAAAAAAAGTTGAAGAAAACTATCGATAGTCTCCCTGTTGTAACATGACCAATTCTCAATTTTAGTTTTACTAAAGCTTTATTATTGGTCTCCCACAGTTCAAACCAAATTTCCTGTTCTAATTGCCAGTATAGCCACTCAAAACAAGGTAGTATCCTATAACTAATCTTTTATCACAGTAAATCTAAAAGGGTCCCATGTTTCAAATTTGCTCTAGTTCACAGCTTACTGGAGTTCACAAAACATTTATATGATTTTTATCCTTAAAGCTTCAATTTCCCCAATAGGGAACTTGTCAGAGATCTGGGATATTGTGTCACACTTCGTCTTTCTCCAGAGTTCCAACTTTCTAATTTCAATTATTTCTAAAAAAAATATAAACCAAACTTAATATTTCTACTACAGATCAATACAAAATATTTTCTATATACTAATGATGGGCGGAAGCGAGATTATGATCGAAAACGATCGGTTTACCCTTTCCGATTCTGATATCAATTACAAATGATCGGTTCATTGCGAAGCTCAAGTGTCAAACGTATACAATGTAGTATTGCACTGAAAGTCATTTTTTATAGTTTTTATTACATGATCGGTATTTTAATGTAGAAACAAAATCAAAACCACGTAAAAGTACCTTAATCCATTAAAAATTAAGGAAACCTAATTAGTTAAAGTTTACTGACGTAAAAAGAATGTGGTCTCCTTACTGGTGACTTCTGTCCCACACTATTACAAACCGATTATGTAATCAATCAATCAGTTTACTACTTCTGATTACAAACCGATTACATCAATCAATCAGTTTACTACTTCTGATTACAAACCGATTATGCAATCAATCAATCAGTTTACTACTTCTGATTACAAACCGATTATGTAATCAATCAATCAGTTTACTACTTCTGATAACAAACCGATTATGTAATCAATTAATCAGTTTACTACTATTGATTACAAACCGATTATGTAATCAATTAATCAGTTTACTACTTCTGATTACAAACCGATTATGTAATCAATTAATCAGTTTACTACTTATGATTACAAACCGATCATGTAATCAATCAATCAGTTTACTACTTCTGATTACAAACCGATTATTGATGATAACTTTATGTCAATTGCCCATCACAACTTGATACATATAACACTTGTATTTCTTAAACAGACAAATATTTACATCAGTGCGTCTCTAGTACACAAACATCAAAATTAGTCTACTTGGTTTATGATATTCCATTCATTGTAACCAACATGACAATTTATTATACAATAATCTTTCTTTCTTTGAATTCTTAAAAATTTATCAAAACAATATTTATATTCACTAAACACACAATCAAACTTTAGGGAACACTGGGGATTATCTCCCTTTATAAGCTGTGATTTTGTATGATACATGTTCTTCAGAGGAAAAAACCAGAAGTCAACATTGACCACAGGTGAGGAAAATAGATAAATCTCCAACATAAACATGTAATTAGACAAATCTACATCATAAACATGTAAAAAGAAAATCTACATCGCAATGGACACAAATCTACACAAGTCCGGACTCGGAGGAAACTATTACGTCGGACCGCAAAAACATTCTGGAATAAGAATTTGGAAGGATCTGGTGAAGGGTTCTGTAGTTTGCTTTTGAATGTAGCCCTGGTGTTGACATTTTACCCAGAGTAAGGGGAGATAATTGACGAGAAAAATGTTAATTTACTTTCAGGAAAAGTCGCTTCATGACCATGAGATAAGAACTTTCACATCAGTCAACGTCCTTGATGTCAATATATGCCAGTACTAATATCACTAAGTGGAAGGAACCCGTATTTTTATACGTTTATATACAAATTCTTATGAAATGATTACAGACTTTTAAGTCAGACTAGTGTTTCTTTACGGTGTATCTGCAAATTCAGGCAAAAACCTAAATTCAATGTCTACAGATTATCGTGAGAAAACGAAATTGCGTAAAAGACAGGACAAATTGTCACTTTTACCTGTCCTAATCACAAAAGTCTACCAAATTTTACAGATGATAAAACCCATACTCAGGCAACATTCACTATATAACAGAATGAATAGACGAGGGCAATAATTAAATCAAAATCGGCTCCTCTTGCATATATACACGTTCTAAATTATTTCTGGATTAAAACACTATACAACCTGCCAACAACAACAGCACTTTCTGCTTATTGCCAGTAAACATAGATTTGTAGATTATGTCCAAACAGGTTCATGTTTCCTGAGGATTTCCTGCCCAATTTTCTGTCAGTAACGTTTTTTCTCTCCTGTCGCCAGTTCGTTTTCCTGTGGACAACGATCCACACACAGTAACCTTGGGAAATACTACGCTGCTATCGTCAGAGTGGAACATTCGTTAAGAGGTAGGAAACACTCTCACCGTTGTGGGTGCGTCGTATCGCCTCCGCCAGCATTATGGAAATATCAATACACTGTCAAGTATAAACATAGAGTCAGGTATAAGTCACAAGACCAAGAAAATTACCAAGAACATCAGCCAATCAGCAAATTGCAAATAAAACAATGTAAATAAGAAACAAAAAATTAAATGTAATTTACTGCCTGCAAGGGACAATGCATCACTCTGAAAACGTGAATTGAGTTAATAACGGTAATGTGTCAAAACAATGAATCAGTTTGTGATATTATATAACATTTGAAAAAGATTTTATTATCTTATATTAAATTTGTACAGCATATAAGGTAGTATAAAGGAACAATCATTCTGTAACCCTGTCATGATGCTTGCTAAATACATACACATGCTTATCAGGTAACTACTACTGACTATAATTTCAAAAGGATATTAGTATGACAAATTGTTATGATGTTCCTTTACCCTAAGGAGGCCTCTGTTGACTTCCAATCTCAACAAAGTAAAATGTAAACATCCTCAGGTAAAGTGAGTCTAAAATTCAAACAAGAGGCTCTGGAGGGCCTGTATCGCTCACTTGGATAAAGGTAACAAACTATCTTTAGCAATCACATTAAACAATGGTTGGAGAATTAATAGTACTTCTCTGCAATGTTTTCTTGATAACAATTAGTATTTTATTTCTTAACATTTTAAATTTGTTCTTAGTTACGTCAAATACTTCCAACATACTTTCTCCCACTGAACCAAAAATACATTAGACTACTGTATTTATTCGGCAATGAGACTGCCAGGTAATAAGCCCATCCATGTCTGAAGTGGTTCAGTAGAAATGCCAACAAATTCTGTTTCACTGTCCTGTAATAAGCCCACCCCCTTCTCTGAATCAGAGATTATGTGTTTGCCCTCCGTGCTTATTGCAGGGTAAATACCATACATCAAAAAGNGGGGGGGGAAGCATATTAAGACGGGAGTATATTTCCTTAACTCCCTTAAAAAATAGCTTGTATACAGTTTTATACATAAAGGTAGGCCAATGCCTAAGGAGATTTAACATTAGCGTCAGCCCCCACTTGGAATTTCAAAACAAGATAAATACAAAAAGGTTTAGGTATAGGAAGCTGAAATCAGAAACAGTTAGTTTCAGAATTCATTTTAGGATAAATGGGACCTCATTGACTTACACCTGTGTGGGTGTTAAAGGTGCAGTAATACAATTCATCCTAGAGCATTTAAATGACACAATTACTATAAAATTATATCATCATCATTTGCAAAATATTCCAACTTATTTTGATACCAAATAGTACACTATTTCAAGAAAGACCTGTTCTTTTTATTGAACCTGGTGTTATGCAAGGAGGTCCACTACAGTGATCAGTAGTGATATGAATGCTGCACCGGCCACCAGTATCAATGAGTCTACTTAACTGACAGGTAGCATCTCAAGCCATCTTACATACATATTCTATACAGGATATAGCTATCAATATAACAGTCATGCAAATATCAACATGTCATGCAAATATCAACATGCAGAGAACCAAGGAAGTATGAAAAACCCTAATGAAAGCACCTCAACCCCTCTCACAAGTATGACAAAGAGCTCCCTCTCACATGTACGACAAAGAGCTCCCTCTCACATGTACGACAAAGAGCTCCCTCTCACACGAAACAAAAGGCTCCCTCCAACATAAGACAAAAGGCTCCCTCCAACACAGACAAAGGGCTTCCTCCCACATACAACAAAAAGCTCCCTCCAACACAAGACAAAGGTCTTCCTCCCACACATAATAAAGGGCTCCCTCCCACACATAATAAAGGGCTCCCTCCCACATACAACAAAAAGCTCCCTCCAACACAAGACAAAGGTCTTCCTCCCACACATAATAAAGGGCTCCCTCCAACACATAATCAAGAGCTCCTTCCCACACATAATCAAGAGCTCCCTCCCACACATAATAAAGAGATCTCTCCCACACATAATAAAGAGATCTCTCCCACACATAATAAAGAGAGCTCCCTCCCACACATAATAAAGGGCTCTCTCCCACACATAATAAAGAGCTCCCTCCCACACATAATAAAGAGCTCCCTCCCACACATAATAAAGAGCTCCCTCCCACACGTAATAAAGAGCTCCCTCCCACACATAATAAAGGGCTCTCTTCCACACATAATAAAGAGCTCCCTCACACAAATAATAAAAGGCATCCTTCCACACATAATCAAGAGCTCCCTCCCACACATAATAAAGGGCTTCCTCCCACACACAATAAAGAGCTCCCTCTCACACACAATCAAGAGCTCCCTCCCACACATAATAAAGAGCTCACCCCCACACATAATCAAGAGCTCCCTCCCACACATAATCAAGAGCTCCCTCCCACACATAATAAAGAGCTCCCTCCCACACACAATAAAGAGCTCCCTCCCACACATAATAAAGAGCTCACCCCCACACATAATCAAGAGCTACTTCCCACACATAATCAAGAGCTCTCTCCCATACCAGACAAAGGAATCCCTCTCACACATCACTGAGGAAATCCTTCCATGAAACATGATCTTATAGTCCCCTTACTAATGAACTGTACTGTATTGTTCCAGCACAAACTATGGCACTCAGTTGTAACAATATATATGTACTGAAGGGAAAAAGAAATGCAGGGCAATTAAAATTTGCATTCTATTGTCGATGGATTGCACTAAAATAATGACACTTTGTCAGATGATTATCCTGGTCAATGCACACTACACCCAGTGTAGAGCCACTCAACCATGTAGTGTACCGTGCCTCATGGATGAATAGTCAAAAAAGCAAAAATCATGTGCAGCACAATGTGGAAAACTTCAGCAATGCAACATCACGTCACACCACTTGGTACTCTAGACTGATACACATAGCTTTCAGCAATCCAATTTCATTTCCTTGTCTCTTTAGTTATGTTACGACTGACAGAAGTTCAGAGGGGTCAGGTAATTGCATTTCTATTGCCGAGCGAAAGGCAACAACAGGTTGCTAGGCATTTTGGAACTAATGTTTCCACCTTACAGCGTCTTGTCAGATGTTTGGGGGAGATTTGGGGCTTTGGCGCCCACTGCAATCTGGACGTCCACATGAAACGTCGTCTCAATGTCAAGACAGGACCCATCTAACTGCGGCTGAAACTAGGTAATTGGGTAGGCACTCATAATAATCCCATTCATCCTTAACCTGTGAGAAATGGATTGCACTAGGCCTGACGGTCGGCATTGTGAACACCGTCGTCATGGGTAATGGTTAGCTGACGCATGCATTATTGCAAAGGATAGATTTGGGTTGGATCAGTTATGGCCCGAGGAGGAATCTCTCATTGTGCAAAAATCTCCTTTGAATGTATTGCAAGGCAGCTTAACGGCTGTAAGATACCCGATCCTAATGTGCAAGCAGATTTCTGTTTCCAATATTGGGTCTACCTTCCTTTGAACTGCAATTCGTTAAGAACTCTGGTTTAATAACTTTCTCAATTTGTTTGTAATTTGTAATTTTCTTTTTCCCTTCAGTATATGATGTAACTATTAATCATGGACAGTAGTTAATATCAAATAACCATTTTTAGCGGCTAAAACTGTTTTTCTATGCCTGCTCTCGATAATTCATTATAATGGTGTATATTAGTAAACATGTCGCTATACATTGTCATTCCACTGTGTCTAATGTCAACAAAACTACACAAAATATCAACAACTTCAACAAAACCACTCAAACATGTCAACACCAAGTGTTTGCCGGTATAAAATAATAACAAAAGTCTACAACTACCGTTAAAAACTTGAAAGTGTTGTAACAACTCATGAGAAGAAGTCAGTAGAATGACAGGAGCGAAGGACAGAAATATCTTGTCCAAATCACAGAAAAAAAGGCTTGAATAACGTCATCCTTTGTCTCAACATCGATCAAATTCTGTTTATTTACATTTGAAAGTGAGGTTTTCAAATTCATTGACTAATTTCCTGAATATTATATAGTTTTGTTAACAAAGAAATATTTTACTTCAACATAAAATTAGGCTATGTCCATATCTCTTATTTCCAAATTAGAAATTGAAGTAATGCTTGATGACAGTTATTCTTGGTATCCTTAGGAACGGTCATTGAGGACATGTTCAGTTCAAACCAGCAGTTTTCTGGTATGTCGGACTAGAGATAGGTGACACAAGCAAACCTACGGTGATTGGGGTTATCAATGAATGGTTGGACTTCACAACTAGAGTGGAACATGGCTGAACAGATATGAAACCGATTCCCCATTATGTGTTCTTCTCACAGCCTCCGCTAAAATGATGGAGATGTCGATACACTGAAAAAGACAAGAAATGGTCACTTTCATTACAAACAGTTCTACAAGTGGTAAATAGGTTACATCAGAAATCCAAAATGGCCACCATGGCCTCTGATTGGTTGAGACATTTTTTCTATAACGTCCACATCCTGTGGTGCTTATCCAACAGAGTAGTTCCAAGCATGTCTGTACACAGGTGGAGAACCTCCCCGCTAACCTCATGAAAACCTGCCTTGAAATGTTGAGGTGATCCTCTACTGATTGTAACTTATGAAAGTCGAAGTAATTTATAAGTCATCCATCACAAAATATTTTTCAGATATTGTGCAATGCATCAAATTTATGGAAGTTTCACTTTTACTACAGTCACTGCTTCAGAAAATATGCATGAAATATAAACCTCCGAATTCAAAGTTTCTCTGTACACTGGAAATGATTAGGTTCATTTCTCTATATTTACAGAGTTTAAAATACCGTTTCTTGACAGACACTTGCAAACTGGCACTAATTATAATGTTCATTGTCAAAACTGTGACACGAAATGTGGCTTGGTTTTCATTCAGTTACTGGTTTGATATTTAACATGTTAGATGGAATATTATATAATGCTTGTATTACTCCAAACAAGGATTCGCACACATGATACAGAATAAGGTTTCAAACCAAACGTTATGGATCTGCATAGAAATACTATAAAGGAAGAAGGATCAGACTGGAAATGGTCCCTGCACTAGGTTCTCATTACAATAGTACCTAACTAGTCCGCAAACTTCAAAGAAGAGAGAAAAACAACAATTTCAGAATTTTGACCTGGTAATTACATCTTTTTGTTACTTTGTCATTAGAATTTTGACCAGGTAATAACATCTTTTTGTTACTTTGTCATTAGAATTTTGACCTGGTGATAACATCTTTTTGTTACTTTGTCATTAGAATTTTGTATTAAAATGCTGGCATAAACAATATGTGGAAGAGCCTAGGAAACTAAAACTTAAATGTATTTGGCCTATTTTATCATTTTTTTTCTGTTTTATAAAACATATTTGATCTCCTGTATGAAAAAAAATTAGGATCCAAAATATTGGTGTGAGTAAAAGAATTCTCCTGAGTTACCAGAGAGCTCAGATAAACATCACTATAATCTATTAATGGAGCCTCCTTATTTGACCCATCAATTTTTTGAAGAACCAATAAATCTGTTAGAAAAAACTATTAACGAAATTGTTCCATTCATTTGAAGGACACAGCCTAAAGTAAAGACGAGAAGCTGATAGCCTGCTGAGGAGAAATGTTGAAATCAGATGTAAAGCAAAACTGATAGTGACCTAGCTCAAACATGTCTACTTCTAGATTTATTTAGATATAACAGCTACTTTGTCGTGTTTATCAGTGTTTTTAGTGTAAGTTATGCCTGTTATACGTAGTTAAGAATAGATCTCAAACAAAAGAGAAAACAGCACAATAAAACTTTTCAAAACACTGTGACCATGAACAAACTTGAGGGATATCGGCGATTTTGTAAAAAGGACACATTAACTTATTATTATTCGGGTTTTTTTTAAAGAAAGTTTGTGTCTTGCTAAATGTGTTAATTATGTATTTGACATGTTGTCTGAAGTAGAAAATTTGTTTACTACAGCGTTAGTAGTTAGGGGAATACAGTAAAAATGGAGGTTAGCTAAGTAGTCAAACAGCACAAAACTTTATAAAAAAAATCAATTAATTAATAGAGAAGGAATTTATGCAATTTTTTAGTCAATCAACAGACCATTAACCTAAGGAGAGAGAAAAAGGTTCAGATATATATATGTCAACTAATCAAATCAAAGCTTGCACTCTGTGTGGTAAGCCAATGGGAAGCAGGGTTACCTGGATCTTTGGAGCATTCTTCATTCTTTTCTCCTGAGGGATGGTATTGGTGACGACCATAGCTTCAAACATGGAGTTGTTGATTCGGGATATGGCAGGACCAGAAAATATACCATGTGTACAGACTGCGTAGACTTTGGTGGCACCGGCTTCTAACAGTCTACAATATCAAAAATACAAACCATAACTTCAAAAAGTGAAACAGATGCAATATTGATTTTAAGTTAGTGCTGTTTATCAAGATCGCTCACTTGTTTTAAGCCTTAATTTATTTATCTAAAGCTTAACCTCGATATCCTGTTACAAAATTTTGTAAAATTATGATTGCCTACCCTGGCAAACTGTTTTTCACACCAAATTCACGCTATCTGGTTCAATACTCCTTTACTGTTGGACTGTCATGTAAGTTAATAAATCCCAAAAGCTTATGGCATTTAGTTCTCAATTCAAACGAGGTCATATGACATTGTGATAACAATCACAATAACACCACGTCTATTAAAACATAGCTGTCAACCCTCCCTCCTTTTGACCAGAATTTACCAATCTCCCTCGAAACTCCCTCATTCAAGTCCAATCTCACACTACATCTTGTAGTCAAATGATCTCCTAGTAACTTGCAGGGTGTGTGTAATGATCATAACAGATGTGTCTAAATCAAAGGAATGCTTTTTGGAGTTATTTTGATACATAAAAAAGGGAAAGAAAAATTTAGCAAAGCAGTTTGAGTCGCACTTTGTCCCTCATTTAAAATGTGGAATGAGGGTGATCTCCTTCATTGGAGGATTCAGAAGTCGACACCTATTTCTTAAAGTGACAGTTCATTTTTTGGAGGTCAATCTTCCAGACATGTATAGTTCAAGTACGTAGGCAAATTTCCTACGGTCTAGAATTTAGCTTGAAATGAGGATGCTATGTTTCCTACTTTTCTGCTGCGTGACAGACGGTTCCACATGTGTCGGCCATGTCATCCACTAAGATGGCGATGCGCTCCTTGACGTCACCTACCAGAACCATGGACGCCACCTCGTTGGCCTTCTTACGCTCCTTATGGATGAGAGCGAAGTCCACATTGAGGCGGTCAGCTATGGATGTCACCCTGTAACGACAATGACAGTCTCATGGAATATCTGTGCTACAACTGTGTTCAATGGATTTTCTAAGATTTTATTTCCACTTTTTATTTACCTACAATGGATAAATGTCACTAACATCAATTCCTGGAAAAAATCTCATATCAAATAGGGACTGTCCCAAAGATTAGCGGAAAAAAGGCAGGCAAGACCAAGTGGTTAATATCATAGAGTTCAGTTAATGATCAAAATCTTGATTCCCCTAGCCCCTTGTTATAACTGTTGTTTTCCAAAATATTATGTGGAAGAAAAATGAAAATAAAAATATCCAATATTGAAATTAAAAATTATTGCAAAACATATTATCAATGGGATGGGAAGTGAAACAAAATCCTAAGACTTCTTTTCGTGCTGTTGAAATTAATTTACTCATATTCCTTGTCTCTGAATTATTAAAGCCAAAATTCCAAAATTCTACAAATATTTTTAAAAGATGTGTTTGCCCCTGAGCTGACCTTTTGGCACCACCTGCATCAGGGGAGACAATGCAGCTATTTCTCCATTCCTGGATGTTGTCTTTGATCCATTTTAGAACAGCTGGTTCAGCATACAAGTTGTCCACAGGAATGTCGAAAAAACCCTGGAAAGGAACATGTACCAGTTTATATCCACAGGAGTGTCGAAAAAACCCTGGAAAGGAACATGTTCCAGTTTATATCCACAGGAATGTCGAAAAAAACCTGGAAAGGAACATGTTCCAGTTTATATACACAGGAATGTCGAAAAAAACCTGGAAAGGAACATGTACCAGTTTATATCCACAGGAATGTCAAAAAAAAACTGGAAAGGAACATGTACCAGTTTATATCCACAGGAATGTCCAAAAAAACCTGGAAAGGAACATGTACCAGTTTATATCAACAGGAGAAGGCAATGTTCTTTTCCTCAGGCGATCACCTGAGCTTAGGATACACATATATCAAAGTGGCACATTTCATCTAATTAATTCGGTAAATACAGCATTTTACAACAGCCCCAAGGGGCCTTAACATTCACATGAGATTTATGACTTAAATGTGACTGCTGGCAGCCACACTTAATTTCATATCTGGGGTCAAAATCGACTTGCAGTGGATACTTGATTCCACACATACATGTATATTTAAAGTACTTGTTGGATGTTTCATGAAAATCAGTGCTTTCCTTTATGAGTTATCATAACAAAAACTGTTGTTACACACACAGGTCTAAGAACCAAATCATTATCATTTTGGACAAACTATTCTTCAAACTTAGAATACTGTACCTGAATCTGAGAAGCATGTAGATCCATTGTGATGATATGGTCGGCGCCTGCTGTTGATAACATATTGGCAACTAGTTTGGCTGAGATCGGGGCTCGGCTCTGCAAAATACAAACATCAAGCTTCATTCCCATAGCTATAGATTACCTTATTTAAGATATATATACAATGCAGGTTATGTCATATGGTTGCCAATCACCAAGCTCCATCAGCACTTCCCTCCAAACTCTATTATGCCTCCACGTTGAGAGAGCCCCCCACCAGAGACTCCATAGTTCCAGGACAGAAAGGGACATTTCCCTACAATGTGATACCGTGCTTGTACAGCACTGAGGGAGGTGGAAATATTACCCTGTGGATGGCAGCACTGATGGAGGTGGAAATATTACCCTGTGGATGGCAGCACTGAGGGAGATGGAAATATTACCCTGTGGATGGCTTTTGTCACCCTACACACAGGTCTTCTTACTAGTGATGGTGTCAGTATTGTAAAACTGGAAATTACTCGAGTGGAAATGCTACATTTTTCACACTGAGTGAATTAGGAGAAAAACATTCACATGTACAAATACATATACAAGAGGCCCAGAGGGCCTGTATCGCTCACCTGGATACCAAAGCAATTATGGCAAAATATTCTCTGAATGAGATCAAGGGAATATGCCAGACCCCAAGGCCAATCCTTGTAGCATATCTGTATTAGATTCTTCATGCCCAGCAATTTTATGTATGGTTATGGGGTGGGGATCTCAACTGTTTCCAAGCTTTGACTCAGAAACTAGGTCCCTAGGGTTGTGGCCAGACCCCAGGATCAATTCTAATATCGTGACTGCATTTGTCTCTTTTTGCCCAGCATTTGTATATATAGTTTTGGGGTGGGGATCTCAACCATTTCAAAGTTATGACCCAGGGGTTAAGTCTGCAAGGGTGGGGCAGACCCTGGGGTCAATTCTAATATCATGACTGCATTC